TATATATATATATATATATATATATATATATATATATATAATCTGTAACATATAGCTTAATAATAATGATAGTACTTCAAGAAAAAAAAAGCAGAGAGATAAAAAAAAAAGAAGATGATGATGCTAAACACATCGAAACTAACACATAGAACCAATGACAAACAGGAAGTAAAAGATGGTTAAAGAAATGCAGAAGGATGTGAATGTCTTATTATTAAAGCAACAAATTCCATTTATGTTAAATGTATCACATTATATGACAGATTTAGTGTATACGTTATATTATACAATAAAATTACAAGATGAACAATCACATATATTAGAATTAGAGGGACGAAAGACGTTATTATGTGATGAAATATATAAATTACGGGAACAATTTCGTAATTTGTTAAATCAATCCAGTGGATCGATGTATATAGAAGAAGATGGAAATAGTACATCATCGAAGGATATAATTGAATTAATACAACAATTTAAAAATTTAATGAATGAAGAATTATTACAAATAGTACGAGATACAAACAATTTATTAATAATTGAACTTGATAAACAAAACGATAATGATATAAATAAATTAAAATTACAATTAGATAATTGTCTTTATGGATTTCTTAATTTAGTTACATTTATTAGAAAGATACCATTAAAATTTGATAACGATAGTAAGAATCAGGATAGTAATAATAGAGAATCGATGGAATCTATCGTTAATGTAATTAAAGATGAATTATTATTAAGTTGGAAAATTGAGTTAGATTTATTAAATTGTAAAATATTTAATTTAATATCCAAAAATGTTAAAATAATTAAACTATTTCAAGATTCGATTAATGAAGAAAATATTGATTCCATTAAAGAGGATAGTGAAACATTTATTAAACTAATTAATTGGTTAAAGGATGATCAAGTATTTGGTTCAATTGTGTTATAGTTAACAATTGTATGTCGTGCCACGCGATAATCCACACCCTTTCCAAAAAAATACCCAAAAAAAAATCCCAAAAAAAAATCGAGAAAACCATTAAGGAACACGTATAACAACAACAAGAATACATACATACATTCACTTCAACAAGCCACTAACTACAAGATAAGGCAAGCATACCATCGAGAATGTCAGAAATAGTCCAAGAAATAAATAAATATTTGGTATTTCCAGTTGATTACCCATCACAAAAGAAATTAAATGATAGAACACATATTTTAATTATATTATTTGGTATAATTTCATTCGTGTATGGATACGTGACACAGTCAATTAAGAATTTATTAATTTGTTATGGTGTTGGTATATTAATAACAAGTTTAATAATTGTTCCAGCGTACCCATTCTATAATAAACAAAAATTAAATTTTGTGACACCAAAGAGGGTTAACATTGATATAGCAGAATAGAAATCTAAATACTAATTGTGTATATATATGTATATATCGGAGTTTTAATATATATTATAAAGTGTTGTTATCAGCTTATGAATCAGTATAGTTAGTTACACCATTAGTGATAGTACTGAACCTGCGCACGTGCCATTCACGTGCGCAGAGCGAAACGCCTGTCGCCGCGGCTGGAGACGGCTGGCAAAAAAGCAGGACAGGGCAGTGTAGTGTGGTGTACGGACACACGCCGCCCCAGCGCGGGCTAAGAATAGAAAGAGCAAAACAAAAAGCGAATTCTTCTAAGCTAGCGATGTTCAATGCGCCGTTGGGATTCCACTAACCCAGCAACCACAACAACAATAGCAGCAGCATCCCCTTTCACAGTCACCGCACACAGAAAAAAAGAGAGGAATCTCTCTCGAGCCCATCCCTTCCACACGCACGCACACACACAGAGCAGCATTGCTTTGGTAATCTCAACTGGTAATACGCTGCGCTACGTTACGCTGCGCTACACACACTATTTTTACACGTTGCTCACTGGGCTGCTCTCTCACTTCACTTCCATTCAGCTTCACACAAACAGATTTTGATAGTCCACTCACTCACTCACTCACTCACTCGCTCAATACACTTCACTTTCACTTTCACTTTCACTTCACTCACATTACGCCAACAGTCGTTGAAGTTGTTAAGAAGGTTGTATGACGATAGTTTAATTTATTAACTCACCAAGTGCAAGTGTTGTACCCTAAGTACAGTAGTACGTAGTAGTAGAATTTCTCAATTTGAGATATTTTCCATAATTTTCATCTTTTTTTTTTTGTTCTGAATTTTTTTCATCTTCTATAACTCTTAGATTATTTCAATTCTCAATTATAAGAAATAACATATATAAAGGTTAAAATTATTTCAGATTTATAAATCAATTCTTATTATCTTTTTATTCCTTTTAATTTATTATTTAATTTTTATTTCATAGTTATTCTTTCTTTTATTCTCATTTATAAAGAAACCATCCCCCCCAAATAAATAAACAAAAACAAATATATTAAAAATGGTTAGAGTTGCTATTAACGGTTTCGGTAGAATCGGTAGATTAGTTATGAGAATTGCCTTATCCAGAAAGTCTGTTGAGGTTGTTGCTATTAACGATCCATTCATCACCAATGACTACGCTGCTTACATGTTCAAGTACGACTCTACTCACGGTAGATACGCTGGTGAAGTTACTTACGATGAAAAGAACATCATCGTTGACGGTCACAAGATTGCTGTTTACCAAGAAAGAGACCCAGCTAACCTACCATGGGGTGCTTCCAACATCGATATTGCTATCGACTCCACCGGTGTCTTCAAGGAATTAGACACTGCTCAAAAGCACATTGACGCTGGTGCCAAGAAGGTTGTTATCACTGCCCCATCCGGTACCGCTCCAATGTTCGTTATGGGTGTTAACGAAACTGAATACGCTGGTCAAAACATTGTTTCCAACGCTTCCTGTACCACTAACTGTCTAGCTCCATTAGCTAAGGTCATCAACGATGCTTTCGGTATCGAAGAAGGTCTAATGACTACTGTCCACTCTTTGACTGCTACTCAAAAGACTGTTGATGGTCCATCCCACAAGGACTGGAGAGGTGGTAGAACTGCTTCTGCTAACATCATCCCATCCTCTACTGGTGCCGCTAAGGCCGTCGGTAAGGTCCTACCAGCTCTAAACGGTAAGCTAACCGGTATGGCTTTCAGAGTCCCAACCGTCGATGTCTCCGTTGTTGATTTGACTGTTAAGCTAGCCAAGGAAACCACTTACGATGAAATTAAGAAGGTTGTCAAGGCTGCTTCTGAAAAGTCTAACGGTGTTCTAGGTTACACTGAAGATGCCGTTGTCTCTTCTGACTTCCTAGGTGACTCTCACTCTTCCATCTTCGATGCTTCCGCTGGTATCCAACTATCTCCAAAGTTCGTCAAGCTTGTCTCTTGGTACGATAACGAATACGGTTACTCCACCAGAGTTGTCGACCTTGTTGAACACGTTGCTGCTAACTAAATTTAATATTTTAAAATAATTGACTTATAATCATTTTTTATAATATTATCTTTTTTATTTAGTTATACATATATACGTACGATCTTTTATAGTTTAATGACAAATTTTAGAATTTTTTGTTAATAAAAAAAGGGAAAACTATTGTGTTTTTTTTACTACATAATTGTTATACATCCAGATGAGTAACTAACGCTACTATCTGTAATTTTTTGAGCATGACTACTTTGTGAATAATTTAACCAATGCCATTCGTATTTTTTTAAATTTTTTGTATTTTCAATCATTTTAATTAATAATTTTAATGGATGTTGTCCACATATAGTATTCCCAGTGGCATCAAGATATAATTTCCATTTATTATAATTCATTTCTTTTAAAATATTCATTCCAAAATGATCTAATAAACTAATTGATTCCCAAATTTTTATACCATGATGATCTAATTTACTTCTTGAAGTTAATAATTCAAGATCATCACCACCTTGTTCAGACATTGTCTCCTTGATGTCTTCTTCATCGGATGCATATGCTGTATAACCAAATCGTTTACCCCAATGACAAAAATCACTACTTATAATAATATAATTATGATATTTTAAATTATTAAATTCTTTAAACAATATTTCACTTAATTTATCATTGATATTATCATTATTATTTGATATCATCATTGGTATAATCTTAACATTTTTAGAAATATCTTGAATCTTACGATATTTTAATGTCGCATATAACATTGAAAATTGCATCTCTAAAGAATGTTCAGCTTCGTCATCTTCAGAAGTCAATAGATCAAACATTGCAGAGGTATCTTTACCTTCATCCCACTCTTTACATAATGGTTGATCAATTTTTAATGAACCAAACGGTGTATCAACTTCATCAAACGATGACAACATTACAGTATTTCTAAAATAAAAATGATGTGATGGTCCCAAGATGAAAAATCGTAACGGTAATGTATCCTCATGATTAAGATCTAAGGACGCAAAGGAATGTGCCATAGTGGGACCACAATATGTGTAGCCAGCATGTGGCGATACACATATTTGTGATTTATGAATTGGATATTTATGTTTAGTACAGGCTTGGTCGAGATATTGAGTAAGTTCATTATGGAGTTGGGTTGGTGATGATGAATACCAGGATCCGGCATGTGTAGCAATACGTGACATTGTGTGTGTGTGTGTGTGTGACTTTATCTGTATATCTATATGTTTAGGGTGGGTTTGTTCTTGTTATAATTTTTGTATTTTACTGAATATTTAAATATTTAAGGGGGGTGAAAGAAGGAATTGAACTCCGACGTTCGCTGTCTGGTAAGAAAGCGACATCGTGGTAGCAAATAATTGATGGCAAGAGATGAGATATGAAGTATTCAAGGATTTAAAGAAACAGAAGGTGCTCGACAGTAAGCTTGCATCAGACACCTTAACTACGTTGCCATGGTATTCTTAATTTTACAGTTGTAAAACAGACTAATCTTTTCTCTTCAACTAATGGACGAAAGTTAATTGGAAGAATGAACTACATCGAATGCAAAAACAGTTTCAGGAACGGTCTTTCCAAAATACCATCAACTTCAGAGTCGAAGCAGATCGATCAGAACAGTTTTACCCTTTACAGATAATATAGTTGTTGTTTTTCGTGTAAACTGGAAAGTTCAGTTCAGTTCTTCTTCTTTGCAAATACAAATCTAAATTGGTTCTCTTTCCTACCTGAACGCCAATTGTCAAAATGATACTTTTTCACCCGGTCCTTCTCTCTCTTTCTCTCTCTCTCTCTTTACGAGAAACCGCAATTTTGCAAAATTGCATTATTTTTAGAATAAAAGCGGCGCAGGAAATACGCGAAATATTGCAAAAGTGCGAAATTGCGAAAAAAGATTTAAAATATGCGGTTATTAATTATTTTGCTGGGCATTTCTAACTTTTTTTTTGCGTTTCGCTACTTTTCTTTTCTGGCAAATTCGCGTTTTCTCACTGCGCAAAATGTCAAACTACACACTATTTTCAACCGGGCTTTTTTTTAATTTGCTGGTTATATATTTTAAATCCTGTAAATCTACGTAATATTACCGACCTTTGAACTTTTACTTAAACTATTAATAACTAGGTGTACAAGTTTCATTACTGTATCAGACCTGACATTCTCCTAATTGGGTAATATTATCAATTCTCTCGAGACCAGCACCTAACAGTAATTTCAAACTAAATTATATATATATATATAAGGACGCAATGAATATATGTGTCTATTATCTCTTGTAATGCTATAGTGTCTTAACTCTCTTATATAACAATAACAATATACGAAACAAAACAAGAAATAATAATGTCTGTTAGAAAAAATTTATTGCTATTAGCAGCTGGTACAAGTGTAGTTGCTGCTACTACCTGTAATCCATTAACCTCAACATCATGTTCAGCTGACACAGCTTTAGCAGGTTCTTTTGCTGAAGATTTTACATCTGCTTCATCTTATTTCACTGATGAAAAAATGCCAGGTACAATTGAATATTCTTCAGATGGTCTTGCAATGACTTTAACTGAACAAGGTGATAATCCAACTTTAACTTCAAATTTCTATATTATGTATGGTAAAGTTGAAGTTATGATGAAAGCTGCTCCAGGTACAGGTATCGTTTCATCTTTCTTTTTACAAAGTGATGATTTAGATGAATTAGATATTGAATGGGTTGGTTCTGATGATACTCAATTTCAATCAAATTATTTCTCAAAGGGTGATACCACTACTTATGATAGAGGTGAATTCCATACTGTAAGTGAACCAGAAACTACTTTCCATAACTATACTCTGGAATGGGCAATGGATAAAACTACTTGGTATTTGGATGGTACTGCCGTTAGAGTTCTAGAAAATACTACTTCTGAAGGTTATCCACAAAGTCCAATGTACCTAAAGATGGGTATTTGGGCTGGTGGTGATCCATCTAATTCTGAAGGTACTATTGAATGGGCTGGTGGTTTAACTGATTATTCTCAAGCTCCTTTCACTATGTATATTTCAAAGGTTATTGTCACCGATTATTCTACTGGTAGTGAATATTCTTATGGTGATCAATCAGGTTCTTGGGAATCTATTCAATGTAAAGATGGTGAAATTAATGGTAGATATCAACAAGCTTTGATGGATTTCGCAGAATTGACTAATGGTGGTACCGTTTCTAACTCTACCACTACTAGTACCACTTCTTCTTCTTCTGCTGTTGCATCAAGTAGTTCTACCTCTGAAATTGTTTCTTCTGAAGTTACTTCTTCTTCTACTAAAGCCACCACTTCTTCTACTAAAGCTACCACTACTTCTACTAAAGCCACCACTACTTCTACCGAGGCTACTACTACTTCTACAAAGGCTGCTACCACTTCTACCAAGGCTGCTACCACTTCTTCTTCTTCAAAGGTCTCTACAGTTTCTCCAACTACCGTTGAAAACAGTTCATCATTAGAAGCTACTAAAAGTACTGCATCAGTCTCTCAAACTTCATCTTCTCAAGCTGTTAAGGTCGCTTCTGATATGGCCAATGGAATTACTGCTAGCTTTGGTCTAGCAGCTCTACCATTACTACTATTATCTCTATTATAATTGTAGTTACTACTATTCATTAATTCATTCATCATGCATCATCGTCAAAGAGGAAAAAAAGTCTTTTTTCTATGTAAAATTTATATAATATTGACACCCACTACTTATTTTCATTATTCCATAAAATAAAAATTAATAATTTTAATTCACTTAACCTTCAAAATTAATCAATAATAATAATTATTATCGATTAATTAATTATATTTGTAATTCTATTTTCTTATTAGAGGAACGTCAAAATGAATGACAGTCTTCAAAGTATTTTATCACTATTGTTTTTTTGTTTATTCAAGTCAAGGGAGTTATGTCTTTTTGATAAATGACAAAACCTTAAAAATTATATATGTTCTGAAAATTTAACAAAATATAAAAATTAGTTAAAAATTAAAAATTTTAATTAAGAATTTAAATATTAAATATATAAATAAGTTATTGTAATTACAATTGTAAGTTGAGTAACCTTCTGTATTTCAATACTCTAAATTAGACATAACATCCTTATTTGTAACATCCATTCAAAAACACAATATATATTCGGTTTTTTCTTGCATTTAATTTTAGAGTAATATACTAATAAAATTACATAAAATAATTGTTCTTCAAGTAATTTTTATTTTCCATATGAATTAAATATTACCTTCCTGAATGAATTCAATGAGGAATCTAAACCATTTAACCAGATATATGATACAAAGAAATAATGCAAGAAACTTTAAAAAAGCTTATTCGAAGTGATATATATATATATATATATAAAACAATGAATACAAAAAAATATGATTTAAAAAGTAATTGGAGGAAAAATGTGCTATTTGCAACAGTTTATGACAGAGTCTTTCAAGAAGAGATTCTAAATTTCAAAAATCAAAAAAAAGAAAGCCCTGTAGGGGGCTCGAACCCCTAACCTTGTGATTAAGAGTCACACGCGCTACCGATTGCGCCAACAAGGCTTATATTTGTTGAAAATTTTTCCAAAATTTACATACATTAGATAATTAAAAATTAAAAATTTAATGTGAATTATGTGTTGCGGAGGAATATAAGCTGCAATAGTTGTTCCAGATATTTTTGTCCTGTGTTCCAGAACTATATATACCTACAAGAGTATTCCGTTGCAAATTTATATTATTAATATATAAATAGAAGGTATATTTTACTCTTCTAGTTTTTTTTATATTACAAATTACTGTATATTATATGTAAATTATTTTCTATTACTAAACACAACAACTAAAAATAACTATACAATTATATACTTATAATTATGTCAAAAGTTCACAATTCTGATCTGTCGGAATTTGCATGATAGAAGAATGACGTCAAGAATATAAAATATAAGAATAAAAGAATAATAAAGATTATCAGATTTGATAATGTTCAATATTTAACAATCCAAAATGAGAAAAGATAATAATAAGACGCATTTAGAAACCATGCATAATTTCTACAATGCTAGTATTGGAGATTTATAATCACGAAATGTTACCCAATCCAAAGGTATATAAAAGGAACAATATTTCATGCATTGGAATATTTTATTTCCCTGATTATTTTGTATATTATTTATAATTTGTATACTAAAGAAATCAGACGACTATACGTTGATTTCTAATAAAATAAATTTTGTACCATATTAAAGAAATACTTTCCTCTAATAATTCCAAGATCCAACAAGATCCACCTTCAGCATTATCTCTTGGCCAATTACGTTCACAGAACTTAGCGTTCTGTGACCTTGAATATCCATGAGCATTACATGTTACAAATTCATTAAGGAAGAAAGAGACAAAATGATGAGATTACTAGGTAACAACTCCTTAAACTAGCAACGGTACAGGGGATTACTTCAATTTTCTTATCATATACTGTCAACGTAATCAGCTAGGAGAGAATACTGAAGGTGGATTAGAATGATTCCAAAGGATGTAAGGAATAGCGTGTTTTTTATTGGTACATGGTAAGCGGTTCGATATTTAAACAGCACATGAAACAGTTTCAGGCCATAGGGATGTAGGAATTCGACCACCTACCATAATACAGCGATACTTTTCTTCAATAGATCTGTGTGCCCTTTCAACTGTACCGTTTTGGAAACCTGAGTATGGAATAGTAAGTTGATGTTGAATACCTTTAGACTTAAAGAATTGATGAAGGGCAGTATTGAAAAATTCACCACCATTGTCTGTACGAATAGCACGTACTTTGTAACCTCCACAAGATGCAAAATGATTTTCTTGCTCTATAATCCAATCGATTAGGCGTTCAGCAGCTTCAGATTTGTTTTTTAAGTGAATTACAGAGTAGTATCTGGAGTAAGCATCACGAATAGTAAGGAAATATTTATCAGATAGAAAATTTTTATACCGAAATTAGGCACAAAGATAAACCTGAATAAGTTGAAGTGGAGAGGTATATTGAGTTGCTGAAAAAGTACCTTTCTGAATAGTACCTTTAGATATGGTAAACGTAAGGTAAATCGTGACAGTAGAGGGATTCATTTTAGGAGCATGGATTAAAGGTGCAAAACTATTGCACAGATAAATACCTGTATGACTAAGATGAGCGTGAATAATACTTTCGATTGGTGCAGAAGGTTTGTTACTGGGTAGAAGTAGATCATGAATAAAGTATTCCGAGGACTCAATTGAGACGGTATGTCCAGCGAATATCTTTTCAACATATTTTGTTTTATTTTGAACAGTGAGAACGTATAAGTTGTTTGATAATACTGCAATTTTTCTAGTAGATCCATTAGGGAAAACTAATTTAAAATCTTCGTTAATATCGTAGAGAATACCAGCTTGACCTTTTTCAATTGCCTATTGGGTGGAAGATAGATTGAATGGCATATCTGGTGCATAGGCAACATTATCCAATTCGACAGGACCTAATTGAATAGTACCATGACCTAGGATTGGAATTTTCCCTCCAACCCCTGTAATTGCAGAACCAGTCGATTCAGTAAGGGTAGTAAATAGATCTTTGTTCCAAGTAACATGTGTAGTACAGCCGCTATCTACGATCCAATTAGTAGTGGAAAGATTCGAGTGATCAGCATCCGAAGCACATAAAGATAGTTGTTCAGTATCCGAAGGGACCTTTTGGGCGAACCATGCAGTTTTTTAGGTTAGTGTTGGACGAAACGAGGAATGGGGCATCAGGGATTCCCTCCTCTAATTTTGGACAATCTTTTAGTCTATGGACTGAACCATTACAAACACCGCATTTTCTCTTGTTGTTGTTACCATTCTTGGTAGTATTCTTAGTAGCAACCACAGCAGTAATTGGTTGCAACTGTCTTTTCTCAGATTCAGTAATCTGAGATAACAATTCTTCCTCATTCATAGTGTTTGAAGATCCCATGAATGTTAAACAATGGGCTTGTGCCTTTGGAGAAAGCCACAATAAAAGATAATTTTCGACTTCCTTTTGGATGGTTTTCCTGTAGGTATCAAAATGTTGCTTGGAGTCGGTAGTAATAGAGTTAATGAAAGTGTTTTCTGCTTCTGGCAAGTCCAGAACAGTAGTGACTAGTTGATCAATAAATTTGATTTTTTCAGCTAATGGTTTTTCGAAACTAGACTCTAAACCAAGTCCGGCTTCAGCCTTTTGACGCACATTAGATACATTGTACTTAGTAATCAACAAGTCTAATAAGTCTTTTCCAGATAAATCGTAGATTTCATCATTCTTGTCATGAATAAAATTCTTAACTGGACCATCAGTACAATTCATCAATAAATCAAGCCGAGCATTGCTTAAAATTTTGGTAGCGCTAGCAGTAACTTCATTGGATAAGTTATACTCTTGAATTATAACAGTTATCTTGCCTGTTTCAGCATATTCAGACCACTCTAATGAGTGTCTGTATAAGTGTTTCAATAGACGGTTATACCGTTTCTTAAATTGGTTAGATCCGCATAGTTTGATATCCAATGGATTATCCCTCAGCCAGTTATGTTCACATTTACTTCATCTTAATATGGATTTGAAGTGAGATCACTAGGAAACAACCGTCCAACTTTATCTCAAAAAAAATCAGAAAGCGATGACTTTTTCCCTCAAAAGAAAACCAAAAATTTTCAGCCAAAAAACGAAAAAACAAAATGAAAAATTATGTTTCTTGCCAACTTCTGCTTTAACCTTTGTAGATATGAGGTAGGAAGTCATAATAAAAGAAAGTTCTAATACTTTTTTGTGCTCATACTTGAGAAGTACCATCAGCTTAAATTTGATTAGGCAATCCCAAACTCCAAAATGAAAGTGATAGAAAAAAGAGATGCATTTTTAAGTGATTACGAAGTATTACAATTCTTAACGAAATTAGAATATCAACATGGTTGGGATGACGATACACAAGCACAATTACAACAAAATAGAAGGAAGAAGATCAAGACGAAGAGACCTTATAACAATGTCACATTACAAAGGATCACGAGAGATACGATATCATATTTACGTGTGAATAAAACTTATGTACCACAAGAAGACGAGGATGAATCAACAAAAAATGAAAATATGATATCTCCAATATATAAACTTAATGACTCTCAATTTAGTGAATTGATGCTTGCATTGAACAAATTCGAATTATTTAAGATAGAAAAATTACAAATTGTTAATCAAATGCCTCGTAATTTAGTACATTTATATTCTATAGTAGAGGAATGTGATTCGAGGTTCACAGAAGATCAAATTACTGAAATAATTGGGATCGTTGAGGCTCACTCATGAACGAGTCCGATTAAGGGCATCATCATACACCAGCATGTAATATATATATATATACACACAAATATATATGTGTAAGTGAAGAGAAAAAAATAGCATTTTAAACGACTTACATCACAAATACAGCAAACAAGTCTTGAATATTTTAATAAACTTATTACAACATATGTATAAATAGATGTACTTTAGAGGCCAATACCTCCCTACACTAGTATTAGTATATCAACCACGTGCGTACTGGTAGTATCCATTATCATCACCAAGAAACTACCAAATTCTTTCACTTTATATTCTAATGCATGTAAAGATATGCACCAACCATAAACCATTGTTGCCCATCCTGCCGCAAACCTATGCCAACTGATGACATTCATAGCATCGTGTCACCCAATTTTGCAATTGTTATTGTTCTCATTAATATTGTAAATATATAATAAGTTGATTATTTAATTGCAAAAATGTGTTTGTCTATGTCTTTTGTACGGCTGTTTCTGTGTGAAGATTCCGAACTCTCTCTTTATCAAGTTTCTTAATTTTTTTTTCTTTCAATTTTCCAAGACAATAACAATCGAAAGAGTTTCAACAATGATAATAGTCGACAGGGGAGAGAGAGAGAGAGAGAAGCAAATAGAATGTTGCTGTAGTAATTCAAGTTTTTTTTTGAAAGGAATAAGATAGCTCAGGTCTTGAATTCTTTTATGACGTCTCTGTCAAGTATATATATATATAAACGTTTTGCTAGTTTGGCTGTATCCATCACTATTTTAATTACTATTTAATCCCCCTTTTATTTCGAGAAGAACAGTTTAGGATCGAAAAGGGAGTACTTGCCATATACATATACGGAAGATAAACACGTCCTCTTAATATGAAATTTGGAGAAGTACTAAGCAGGTCTTTGATTAGACAGTACAGCTATTACTATATCTGTTACGATGAGTTGAAAAATGAATTAGAAGATAATTTACACAAGACAAATGGGCAATGGTCTCAAGAATTAGAGACTACTTTCTTAGAGTCTCTAGAGATTGAACTAGATAAGGTTTATACTTTTTGTAAAGTAAAACATAGTGAAGTTTTAAGAAGAGTGAAAGAGGTCCAAGAACAAGTTCAGCATACTGTTGCATTATTGGATTCCAATACTCCGCCGAGTGAGTTAGATTTTGAAATTCTTGAAGAAGAATTAAGTGATATTATTGCTGATGTTCATGATTTAGCAAAATTTTCTAGATTAAATTACACTGGGTTTCAAAAAATTATTAAAAAACATGATAAGAACACACATTTTATATTAAAGCCAATCTTTGCTGTTAGATTAGATGCAAAACCATTCTTTAAGGAAAACTATGATGGTTTAGTGGTAAAAATTTCACAATTATATGATATTGTTAGAACTAGTGGTAGACCTATTAAAGGTGATTCTGCCGCAGGTGGGAAACAACAGAATTTTGTTAGACAAACTACAAAATATTGGGTTCATCCAGATAATATTACCGAATTGAAATTAATCATCTTAAAACATTTACCAGTGTTAGTGTTTAATACTAATAAAGAATTTGAAACCGAGGACTCAGCTATTTCTTCCATTTATTACGATAATGAGGATTTGGATCTATACTATGGTCGTTTGAGAAAGGATGAAGGTGCAGAAGCTCATAGATTAAGATGGTATGGTGGTATGCAATCTAACACAATTTTTGTAGAGAGAAAAACTCACAGAGAGGATTGGACCGGTGAGAAGTCTGTTAAGGCAAGATTCTCTTTAAAAGAGCGTCATGTTAATGATTTTTTACATGGTAAATATACTGTTGAAGAAGCATTTACCAAGATGAGAAAAGAGGGTAAAAAATCAATTCAAGAGATTGAGAATTTAGAAGCCTTGGCTACTGAGATTCAATATACTATGCTAAAGAAGCGGTTAAGACCAGTGGTGAGATCATTCTATAATAGAACTGCGTTCCAATTACCTGGTGATGCAAGAGTTCGTATCTCTCTAGATACTGAATTAACTATGGTTAGAGAAGATAATTTCGATGGTAAAGATAGAACACATAATAATTGGAGAAGAACTGATATTGGTATAAATTGGCCATTTGATAACATCAGTGACAAAGATGTTTGTAGATTTCCTTATGCGGTCCTTGAAGTTAAGTTACAAACACAATTGGGACAAGAACCACCTGAATGGGTTCGTGAATTGGTTGGATCACATTTGGTCGAACCTGTACCTAAATTTTCTAAGTTTATTCATGGTGTGGCCACATTATTGAACAATAAAGTAACTTCCATTCCATTCTGGTTACCTCAAATGGATATTGACATAAGGAAACCGGCATTACCAACTCATATTGATATTACAAGACCAGAGAGAGATAGTAGTCCCGGCTCTGGAATTGGTTCAGAAAATGGTGATGAAGATGATGAAGATGATGCCGCTTTGATTAATGCTATGTCTGGTGCTCCTGGTAACAACTTCGATTTGGAAGAAGGTTCTGCAAGTTATGGTGCAATTGCACGTCCACCAGCACAATCCAATGCTCTTGGTGATCCACAAACAATGCCAAGTGTCAACGCAGCATATTATCAACGTAAAATTAGACATGCAAGCAATCAATTGACTAAGAGATATTACACTACAGTTGCATTCTTCGACCATTATTTCAATGGTGACCAAATTGCAAAGATCCCTAAGGGTACTGTGTTTGATTCACAAGTTAAAGCACCACCTGGTAAGACCATCTGTGTTCCTGTTCGTGTCGAACCAAAAGTATATTTCGCTACTGAAAGAACTTTCTTATCATGGTTATCTATATCTATTTTATTAGGTGGTGTTTCCACCACATTATTGACATATGGTACTCCAACAACTATGTTGGCATCTATTGGGTTCTTTGTCACTTCAATCGTGACTTTAATTCACACTGTCTTCGTCTACGCATCAAGAGTCGTCAACATCAGATTAAAGAGAGCCATCGATTATGAAGATAGATTGGGACCTCCAATGATTTCAATCTTCTTGCTTTTATCTATTGCCTTCTCTGTTTTCTGCAATTGGGCATAATTCATCAGAACTATAATATCAATACATTTTATTATCTTCAACCTGGGAATACGCATTTCTTTGTTTCCAGCTCTTTCTTCCTCTCTATATCAAACTTTACGTTTATAGTTAAATTATTTACATTGTATAGTACTGAATATCATATATCCTTACGTCATAAAACAATTATCCCTCATGTTGTTTCCAAGATGGTTCTTCCATAAAACTTTTCCTTGCATTCCCCCCCCCCATTCAGAGGGAGTATTATTGTATACGCGAAAGTATACACTGAAAAATTTCTATTATGGTGAAACACAGATCATTTTTCGTGTATGGTAAACAAAATATCAATACAGACAATACATACAAATACTTCTAAAATATAAAAGAAATAAATTGTCAACTGGTATACATCTTCAAACAGACTTAATTGGACAGAAACCCATATATTTCAAAAGGAGTATCATCTGTTTAACTTATATACATACCAGATTAAGATAACCACAATGTTAAGGAGCCGCTTATCGAGCTCACAAGGCTCCGGATCAACCAAGTCAGAGACCAAAAAGACACCTTTACGTCAACAGTCTATTGCATCATTCTTCAGTAAGAAATCTACATCGTCATCGACAGCTCCAAAAAGAACAGCAACAACATCGCATACCGTCATATCTGCATCACAACCAATTAGAAGTGTTTCACAAAATAGATCACTTTCCACCACAGGCAGAAAATTGGCCACACATATATCGAAAAAACCAAGACTTTCCACTCAGGAGGTAATTAACCTTGAGGATGAAAAGGAATCGAGACCTCCTATTCATCGAGCTAAATTGAACCGGTCGAAAATCAACCCGTCATCGTCGTCATCGCTCTTCTCTTCTCAAGGTTCCTTTGATGAATGTGACCCGGTTGCTGAGTTACAAAGATTGAAGACCGTCGAGCATCTGAATAGTTATAAACCTACATTGTCTCGTGCACCAAGTTTCAAGAGATCTAGCAGCAAGACTGAAGTGGTAGAAATAGAATCGGATACTAATGGCGTTACCGCATTCCACGAAGTAACAAACATTTCTAGTGGATCGCGTCAATTATCCTTTACTAGTACACAATTAGACTTTCACAGAGAAGAATCAGACACCTTCATCCCTTTACAGTTCTCTCCTAGAAAGACAGCCCGTATGTTAGCATTCCAATCCGATTTAAAATTAGCCTCATCAAAGAAATTAAAACATCTTAATGACAGAGGTGGTTCCACATCTTCATCATCTTCATCGAAGAAACGTAATATAGTACCATTAAAACTTACAAAAGAACAAGAGACGGTCATTGACTTAGTTGTCAATAAGAAGGCTAATATTTTTTATACAGGTTCTGCTGGTACAGGTAAATCTGTTATCCTAAACAATATCGTTGCCAAATTAGGTGCGGTATACGGTCGTGATGCAATTGCTGTAACTGCTTCCACTGGTTTAGCTGCTTCTACTGTTGGTGGTGTCACATTACATAAATGGGCCGGAGTTGGTATTGCTCAAGCGCCTGCTCAAGTTCTTGTTAATAGAGTTATGAAACGTAGAGATATCCTAAATGTTTATAAGAATACAAAAGTGTTGATTATTGATGAGGTCTCTATGATTGATGGTATGTTCTTAAGTAAGATTGAATATATTGCTCGTTCAGTAAGGAAGAGTGATAGACCATTCGGTGGGATTCAAGTAGTCCTAACTGGTGATTTCTTTCAATTACCTCCTGTCCAAAAGAGAGATAATACCAACGCTAACAATCAACAAAGTATATTTTGTTTTGAGAGTGAAATGTGGCAACGATGTATCCATAAGACAATTTTATTGACAAAAGTATTTAGACAACAGGATGATGAATTAGTGAAAATCTTGAATTGTATTAGATTTGGTGATATTGAACAAAATATGGCACTTACTTTACAAAATTTATCGAGACACATTGAATATGATGATGGAATTTTCCCAACAGAACTTTATTCAACAAGAAGAGAAGTTGAAATGTCTAATTCGAGACAATTAGGATCATTGCCTGGAACAGAACATCGTTACGAGGCACAAGATATTGCCACTCCGGAACAACGTAACTTATTAGATTCATCAGTTATGGCAGAACGTGTCTTGGTATTAAAAGAAAATGCTCAAGTAATGATGTTAAAGAATAAACCAGAAGTTGATTTAGTGAATGGTTCCCTTGGGAAAGTTTTGTTTTTCACAACTACAAAATTGATGTTAAAGATGAATCAAATGTATAGAGTAATAGATGATGATACGATTATCGATATGAGATTAGTCTCTGAAGTTATTGGCAACCCTGTAAAACGTAATTCTGATAATTTTATTAGAGAGGTTCAAGCAAGACCAATGTCTCGTGCTAACAATTTAGGTGAATTACTCAATATTGCAATACACGAGAGAGACCCACATAGTATATACCCATACGTTAGGTGGTCTATTGGTAAGAAGAAATTTTATCATGAGTTAGTCATACCAGATAAATTCCCTGTAGATTTACCAGGTGACAAGACAGGAATTGAAAGAACACAGCTGCCAATTATGTTGTGTTGGGCATTATCCATCCATAAGGCACAGGGACAAACCATTCAAAGACTCAAAGTGGACCTGAAGAACATTTTCGAGGCTGGTCAGGTGTATGTTGCATTATCCAGAGCTGTATCAATGGATAATTTACAAGTATTGAACTTCAACGCTAAAAAGATTCGTTCCAACGATAAAGTCAAGCAATTCTATACTACGTTGGAAACCATCAAATAGACAGGAAGTGCACGTAGAAAAGAGTCTACTATTAATAGCTCTCAACCCTGTTCCAAGTGCTCATCGAATAAATAAACTAAAAGTAAATACATATCAAGTAGAATAAAAATGTTTTGTTTATAGTGAACACTTGCTTCCCTCTTTCTCTCTGCAAACAAATAGCTGCGCAACGCCTCAAAAAAAGAAAAAGAAAAATTTCAGCGGTGGTTGAAACGAGTTATTTTTAGTTTTTGAGATTTGATAATATTTTAAGAAGAACAAGAACAAGAACAAGCTTTCGTTGTTGAAGTTGTGTTTATTCTTTTGTCAAAAAGGATCCCTGGTAAGTGCAGTTGATCAGGTTTGCCATTTTTACTCGATACTATATATTAGACATTGCTTTATCGTTTTTACAGTCAACCATTTGTAACCATTTTTTCTTCTTTTCCTTAATCAAGTGAGATCAACAAAAGGTAGAATCGTATACCTAAGACAAAGAGGGAAATCAGGAATATCAGCCAGATATAACATTTAAATCAATCATATCCTTTCTTTTTTTTTTCTTTTTTCATTCATTAAAAAGTACTCCGTTGTAAATAAATATATCCATATAATTTCAGATAATGAGTGAAAGTATCGAGAGACATACATTCAAAGTATTCAACCAGGATTTTACCGTAGATAAACGTTTCCAACTGATAAAGGAGATCGGTCATGGTGCTTACGGTATAGTTTGTTCTGCGAGGTTTGCAGAGGCAGCTGAGGACACCACCGTAGCGATCAAGAAAGTTACAAATGTCTTTTCCAAGACTTTATTATGTAAGAGATCATTACGTGAATTGAAATTATTAAGACATTTCAGAGGTCACAAGAATATCACTTGTTTGTACGACATGGATATTGTATTTTATCCAGATGGTACATTCAACGGGCTTTATCTATATGAAGAATTGATGGAATGTGATATGCATCAAATTATTAAATCTAGTCAACCTTTGACAGATGCTCATTATCAAAGTTTCATTTATCAGATTCTATGTGGGTTGAAATATATACATTCAGCAGATGTGTTACATCGTGATTTAAAACCTGGAAATTTGTTAGTTAATGCAGATTGTCAGTTGAAAATTTGTGATTTTGGTTTAGCTAGAGGTTATTCCGAAAATCCAGTTGAAAATAATCAATTCTTGACTGAGTACGTTGCCACCAGATGGTATCGTGCCCCTGAAATCATGTTAAGTTATCAAGGTTATACAAAGGCCATCGATGTATGGTCTACGGGTTGTATATTAGCCGAATTCCTTGGTGGGAAACCAGTCTTTAAAGGTAAAGATTATGTAGATCAATTGAATCAAATATTACAAGTATTAGGAACACCTTCGGATGAAACATTGAAAAGAATTGGTTCGAAGAATGTACAATCGTATATCCATCAACTAGGTTATATTCCAAAGGTTCCATTTGTAGAGTTATACCCGAATGCCAATCCTCAAGCATTAGACTTATTAGAGAAGATGCTTGCTTTTGATCCACAAAGAAGAATTACTGTGGATGAAGCTTTACAACATCCATATCTTTCTATCTGGCATGATCCTGCTGATGAACCTATCTGTGCAGATAAATTTGATTTCAGTTTCGAAGTAGTGAATGATATGGATGAATTAACACAGATGGTGACTGATGAGGTGCAGGATTTCAGAAAATTCGTTAGACAACCACTACTGGAAGAACAAGAATTACATCAACAGCAACAACAGCAGCAAGAATTACATCAACAACAGCAGCAAGAGTTAGAACAACAACAGAAGGAAAGAGATATCAGGAAACATACATCAACTAGTAGTATGCATTCAAACAATCAAATCAGCCATTCAGAATATGCGACACCTATGCGTCAACCAGGAAGTTCTAATCAAGCTACACCCTTGCAAGATTTTGGTCTACATGCTCATGATTTACCATCACATGATACAGACTTACCTCCTAGACCTCATGAAAACTTGTTAGCCTCACCTGTAGGTGTCGGCCATACGATGCCACCTCCTGGTACAGATGTTCAGAATGGGAATGATGGCCAAACTGGACTATTTGATCTAGAGAAGGAGCTGGCATTCGGTCTAGACAGAAAGTACATATAGATAACAAGAAAAGTCTGTTTTGAAATCACTCAATCACAAACATATATATACTGCAAATAAATAATTTTTACGACAACAATTAGCTAAGATAATACCATCATCTTTCGTTAAAACAAGAATATACTTATCTGTTACTTGAAGTTGTGGCCGCTTCAGGATTGGACTATCTCTGTTGCGAAACTTTCGCCTAGAAAATTGCTTAGTAAAGAAAGTTCTTTCGGGCGTAGTGACTCACCGAAACTGTGTACGTAGATCTCAGGAATAATATTACGAAAGCAATTGATAAGCAAAAAGTGAAAAAATAAATGAAAATATAAAACATTTTGGCTGTATATATAATAAAGGGGGGACACATTGATTTCTGTTAAGATTAGATTTTTTTTGTGCCAATTGCAACTACTTGGTGTATTCATTTCAGACAACATACTAAGCAAAAGCAAATCAAAATCAAAAGCAAAATCAAAAATGCCACACGTTTTACCATTTAAGCAAGTTGATGTATTCACTGCAGAACTATACAAGGGTAACCCAGTTGCTGTAACCAATTGTATGGGTATCGATGAATCAGAAGTTACTACTGAACAATTACAAGCAATTGCTACATGGACTAATCTTTCTGAAACCACTTTCCTTTTCAAACCAACTGAACCTGGTTGTGATTATAAATTAAGAATTTTCACCCCAAAGAATGAATTACCATTTGCTGGTCATCCAACAGTTGGGTCATGTAAGGCATTCATTGAATTTACTGGTACTAAGAAAGAAAAGATTGTTCAACAATGTGGGTTAGGTCATATTGAACTTTCCGTCACAGATGATCAAAAGATCTCTTTCAAGGCAGGTAAAACTATTGTAGAAGATATTAGTGATGATGTTGCCAAAGCATACGAAGCTACAATGGGTATCAAGTCTATTGAAAGACCAAGATTATTAAAAGTTGGTCCAAACTGGGTTGTATTTTTAGTTAAGGATTCTGACGAAGTTTTGAAAATAGATGCAGACTTTGCCGCAATGTCTGCTTTAGATCTTGATAACGATCACACTGGTGTCATTGTAGGTGGTCTAAAGACCGGTTGCACTACTGGCGATGCTTATGAAATTAGAGCTTTTGCTCCAAGTATAAAAGTTCCTGAAGATCCTGTATGTGGTAGTGGTACTTTGTCCTTCTTGAGATATTTGAATGAAATAAATCAATACAAGGAACCTAAGAATTTACACATCACTCAAGGTGCTAGAGTAGGTAGAAACGGGAACCTTTACTGTAAGATTGATACTAAATCCGATGGTAACGCCGATTACTACGTTGGTGGTTATGCTATCGCTATTGTCAATGGTACAATAACTTTATAAATATAATTATTATCAAAAAAATAATAATATGTCTCTATGTAAGTACAAGTAGATTTAAAATTGATCTTATGTTATCATTCAATGTTCAAATTTTGTTTTTTAAAAATTCCTTTTATAAGTTTAAATCTGTTTTTGGATTATCAAGTCAATTATATATCCTAAAAGGGTAATTCAGAAGGAAAACAACTCGCCTTAATTAGGAAATTAAAATTTTTTAATTTCACCAAATTAGGAAAACGAAGAGGGAGAAAAAATGAGAGAGAGAAATACTTAGTACAATTTTCCTATTGGTTGTAACAATAGAACCATTTTATTCAACTGATAATTTATAATTCTACTTCACTAACCGTCACTAATTTAAAGTTCTATTAGATACAATTTAAGATAAATATCCTTTTAGATTTATCCAAAAAAAAGGAACAGACTTACAAACAGGGAGAGCTGGGTATATCCAAAATTAAAAGGGTCTGCTTTGTCTAAAGGAAAGAAACCAATTGAATCATTATAATGACTTCAAAAATTCACAATGATAACGACAATGCTACCGAGAGAACTCCATTAGATGATCGTCAAAATGAAGTAGAAGATATTGAAAGAATCCCCCAAGATCGTTTCAAGAGTGACTCAAGGCAACTAGTAGACAGATTAATTAAGTTAGGGGTAGTCGTTCTTTTACTTGTATGGGGTTCTTTACTCCTTGTTAAGACTTTAAAAAGTAACAATACTGAACCTGAGAGTGTCCCACAATATTCATTCCCAAATCCAAATGTAACAGTAGACGGAAAACTGAAAGTATCGTTTCCAAATGTCAGAAATGGGACATTTAAGCCAAAGATGCATAATATTCAGTGGCTGATACATTCAACTGATATATCAGATGATAAAGGGTTATATGTGACTTGGCAAGATGATTCATATGTTATTAAATCTGTATCTGACAAACATTTTGAAAAAGTGCTTTTAAAGGGTAAGACGTTTGTCCAAGATGGCCACAATATGACAATTGACAACATTGTAGCATCACCAGATTTGAAGAAATTATTGGTGAAAACAAATACAATTAAAAATTGGAGACACTCTACAATAGCATCATATTTTGTATATGATAAGTCAAGTCAAACATTTAGCCACATTGGTGATCATATTACTTTGGCAGAATGGTCCCCAAATGCTATTGATATTGCGTACATTCAAGATAATGATATATTCTTGTACTCAACCGAGAGAGGAAAAACAACCGAACAAATAACTAGTGATGGTAGTTCTCAAATATTTAATGGAAGACCAGACTGGGTTTATGAAGAAGAAGTCTTTGAATCTGATAAAGCGTTATGGTGGTCCCCCGACGGTAGTTATATTGCATTCTTAAAGATTGATGAAACTGATGTTAAAGAGTTCACAATTCCGTATTATGTTCAAGAAGAAAATAGCATATATCCAGAAATGCGAAGCATCAAATATCCAAAGAGTGGTCAATCGAACCCACTAGTGGATTTATACGTTTATAGTACTAGCGATAAGGTTAGCTTTCCTGGACACACAAGCAAATACTTCCAAGATTCTGATAACCTTATCACAGAAGTTATTTGGGTAGGTAGAGATAATGTTATTGCTAAAGTTAGTGATAGATCTCAAGACCTATTAAAGATCCTTGAGGTTGATGCTAACAAAAGAACTACTGAGGTGACCAGAATTGAATCCTCTCAAGGGGGATGGTGGGAAGTAACACACAATACGATCCATATTCCAAGCAATCAAAAGTTTAATAGACCAGAAAACGGTTATATTGATATTCTACCTATTAATGGATTTAACCATTTAGTTTATTTTTCACCAATCAATTCCACAAAACCGTTAATATTGACTAAAGGAAATTGGGAAGTTGTAAATGGTGCAGCAGCATTTGATTATGATACGAATCGTGTCTATTTTATTAGTACTAAAAAATCTTCCATGGAAAGACACTTGTATTATGTCAAAATAGACCGTCCAGGTATTGTTCATAAGGTGACAGATACTTCTGAAGACGGTGTCTTTAGTGCTACATTCTCTTCAAGTGCTAGGTTTATGTTGTTAACATGTAGTGGCCCAGATGTTCCATATCAGAAGATTGTGGACCTTAGAAGTACCAAAAAGGATAAGCATATTAGAGGGAATGTCCTAGGAGAAACTTTGTACTATTTGGAGAAAAATGAAGAATTGTCTGAGATGACAGAATTATACAAACTACCAACTAAAAAATTCAATGAATTAAACTTAGGGAAAGATGCAAATGGAGATGATATTATTGTTAATTCATTTGAAATTTTGCCTAATGATTTTAATAGAAATTTAAAGAATCACTACCCTGTTTTCTTCTATGCTTATGGTGGCCCAAATTCACAACAAGTCGTTAAGACCTTTGGTGTGGGATTCAACGAAATTGTAGCATCTCAATTGGGCGCCATTATTGTTGTTGTAGATGGCCGTGGAACTGGATTTAAAGGTAGAGCATTTAGATCCTTAGTGCGTGACAACCTAGGTGACTATGAAGCACAGGACCAAATTGCTGCAGCAGCATATTATGGAAGCAAATCTTATGTTGATTCTGAAAAGATTTCTTTATTTGGTTGGTCATATGGTGGTTACCTAACTCTCAAGACTTTAGAACGTGATGGTGGGGAACATTTCAAGTATGGGATGTCTGTAGCACCTGTCACTGATTGGAGATTGTACGATTCCGTATATACCGAACGTTACATGCACACTCCACAAGAAAACGAAGAAGGCTATGATAATTCTAAAGTGAACAATGTTACGTCTATTGGACAAGCTCAAAGATTTTTATTAATGCATGGTACAGGTGATGATAATGTTCATTTCCAAAATAGTTTAAAGTTTTTGGACGAACTGAACTTGAATAACATAGAGAACTACGATGTACATGTTTTCCCAGATTCTGACCATAGTATCAGTTATCATAATGCCAATAAGATAGTTTACGATAAATTGTTTAATTGGATCAAACATGCATATCTCGGAGTTTACCTTTTATAGGAATTCCTTGAGGTTCTTTCTAATCAAATGATTGTTGAAAAGTTACCAGACACTAAAACTCTTCTAATATACATATACATATATATATATATATATACAATTATCCATATTCAAATATATTCATAACAGGTAAACATTTACGTTCGTAAGGAATTTCTATTCTTTTCTTTCTATTGTTATTGGTACATAATCATTAATATTTACCTCACTTCGAATCTCACCAGGAGCCTTTTTCTTTCAAATAAACTTCTCTTTCGCTTCGCTTTGAAAGGAAAGAGAGGCAAACCCGAAAGCACACCAAAATAACGAATGGGTGGCAAAAGAAAGTATTCATTGAAATTTGAGTTTTTAAAGAATACAGGGAAGTAATAAAAAAAAGGAAGAAGTAATATATACTCTGCTTATTATTTTTTGGTGGCAAAGATTGAAGCTAAGAGAAAGGTTATAAATACCACATTTTTCAATAATCCAAGTTGGCGATTAGCTTTGTTGTGAAATATAACTATTCAAGAAATAGTACATAATAAGGATCGATCAAAAGACCCCAATTACTATTGTTAAAATTTTAAAGGCCTGAACTTTATATATCCACAATGGTTGAAGAATTAGAAAATAAGAAAAAACCTCAAGAGGTTCAAAAGGATGAGACCGTTCCTGCAACGGAAAAGGTCCAAACTAAGAATAAGAAGAAGGATGAAGAAGAAGAACAATTATCTGAAGAAGATGCTAAATTGAAAGAAGACTTAGAACTTTTGGTTGAAAGATTGAAGGAAAATGATGCTTCTTTATATGAACCTTCTTTACAAAAATTGAAAGAATTTATTCAAAGTTCTACAAGTTCAATGACAGCTGTCCCTAAACCACTGAAATTTTTACGTCCAGCTTACCCAAGTCTATGTAGTGTTCATGACAAGTGGACAGACAAGAAATCCAAGTCAAGTTTGGCCGGTATCCTATCTGTGCTGTCCATGACTTATTCTGAAAATGGTAAATATGATTCTCTTAGATTTAGATTATTATCAGATGAAACAGATCTAGAGAGTTGGGGTCATGAATATATTCGTCATTTAGCCCTTGAGATTGGTGAAGTTTATAACGATCAATTGGAAAAGGAAGCAGACTTAACTTCCGATGGTTCAAAAGAAGCAACCCCTACATCGACAGATTTCGAATTTTCTAACGAGGATATATTACAATTATCATTAGATATTGTTCCATATTTCTTAAAACATAATGGTGAAGAGGATGCTGTCGATTTATTATTAGAGATTGAATCAATTGAAAAATTACCACAATTTATTGATGAAAACACATACCAAAGAGTATGCAAGTATATGATTGCATGTGTCCCATTATTACCTCCACCTGAAGATATATCATTCCTACAAACCGCATTTTCCATTTATTTATCACAATCTCAATTGACTGAGGCACTAGCTATTGCTATTAGATTAGGTAACGAAGAACTAATGGGATCAGTGTTTGATGCCACAAATGATAAAGTCGTACACCAACAATTGGCTTATATCTTAGCAGTTCAAAAAGTTTCATTCGAATATGAGGGTGTACAAGATATTATTGGTAACACTAAATTGTCTGAACATTTCTTATATTTAGCCAAAGAATTGAATCTAACCGTACCAAAGATTCCTGAAGATATTTACAAGAGTCATTTGGATAATTCTAAATCCATCTTTTCCAATTCTGGTATGGACTCAGCTCAACAAAATTTAGCTGCCTCATTTGTTAATGGGTTTTTAAACTTAGGTTATAGTAATGACAAACTTATTGTCGACAATGATAGTTGGGTATATAAGACAAAAGGTGACGGTATGACCTCTGCTGTGGCTAGTATTGGTTCAATCTACCAATGGAATCTTGATGGTTTACAACAGTTAGACAAATATTTGTATGTTGAAGAGCCTGAAGTTAAAGCTGGTGCATTATTAGGTATTGGTATCTCTGCAGCTGGTGTCCATGATGCTGATGTTGAGCCTGCATTATTATTGCTGCAAGATTATGTTACCAATACTAATCCAAAGATTAGCTCCGCAGCTATCCTGGGTCTAGGTATTTCCTTTGCAGGCAGTAGAAATGAAGAAGTTTTAGGTCTTTTATTACCATTGGCTGCTGATACATCTTTACCACTAGAAACATCTACAATGGCTTGTTTGGCTTTATCTCATATATTTGTTGGTACATGTAATGGTGATATTACTACATCTATAATGGATAACTTCTTAGAACGTACTACCACAGAATTGAAATCTGAATGGGTTAGATTCTTAGCGTTATCTTTAGGTTTATTATATTTACAACAAGGTGAACAAGTAGATGATGTTATGGAAACTTTGACCGCTATAGAACATCCAATGACATCTGCTATTGAAGTATTAATTAATGCATGTGCTTACACTGGTACTGGTGATGTATTATTAATCCAAGATTTATTACATCGTTTGACTCCAAAGGCTGTAAATAAAACAGATGAAGAAGAAGAGAGTGATAACGAAGAACAAGCTAATAGTATAAGTGACTTCTTAGGTACCAAAGACAATGAAGATATAGGAGCAACTGAAGACAACGAAACAACCCCTGCAGAAAATGCTACAGGAGATAACAACAGCAACGATACCACAAATAATAACAATAATGCAGACGGTGATGATGATGCTATGGATGTTGACCAAGAGGATTCTAAACCTGAAGATACAAAGACTGAAAGTGCAGGTAAGACCACAGAAGAAGAAAAGGAATCAGGGACTGCCGAAGAGGAAGGTGAAGAAGAAAAAGAAGCTGGCTTAATCGAAGAATCCTGTTTTGCTGTTCTTGGTATTGCATTGATTGCCATTGGTGAAGATATTGGTAAAGAAATGTCATTACGTCATTTCGGTCACCTAATGCATTATGGTAATGAATATATTCGTCGTATGGTTCCATTAGCGATGGGTTTAGTCTCTGTAGCAGACCCACAAATGAAGGTTTTTGATACATTAACTCGTTTCTCACATGACCCAGATTTGGATGTCTCAATGAATTCTATCTTTGCTATGGGTCTTTGTGGTGTTGGTACAAATAATGCAAGATTAGCACAATTATTAAGACAATTAGCCAGTTATTATTCTCGTGAACAAGATGCATTATTTATTACAAGATTAGCACAAGGTTTAGTTCATTTAGGTAAAGGTACAATGACAATGGATATATACAACGATGCAAATGTTCTTAATAAGACTACTTTAGCCTCTCTATTGACTGTGTTGACTGGTCTTGTATCACCAACATTCATGTTAGAACATCATCAATTATTCTATATGATGAATAGTGGTATTAGACCTAAATTCATTATAACTTTAGATGAAGAAGGTGAACCACTAAAGGTTAATGTTCGTGTTGGTCAAGCTGTGGAGACAGTGGGTCAAGCAGGTAAGCCAAAAACCATTACAGGTTGGATTACACAATCTACTCCTGTATTATTAGGTCATGGAGAAAGAGCGGAACTTGAAAATGATGAATATATCAGTTACACCAGTAACATAGAAGGTGTTGTGATCCTAAGAAAGAATCCGGACTTCGAAGCTGAAGAATAAGAGAAAAATAAATAAAATAAAATAAACATATCCATACACATAAATGAAACAAAAAATGTACCATACTATATAAGTAAAATGCTTGTAAAAGTTCACATAAACATATTAAAATAATAATTGTAATCACTTAAAAGCAAATGAGTTCTAGTCTTTTAAGGGACCTATTTCGAAATAGATTAGTGAGTATATAATAATGATATGAGTGCATTCATGCATGAGTGTGTAAAATGTATATAGGAGGTTTATATATAAAAAATAGATAAAGGATGACTGAGCTGATTATTGTTATTATTATTGACTCATTGGAAATCACTTGCTTTACCAGCCATCAACAGGCCGACAATCAACCCTAATAGACCTAAAATGGAACCGAAAATTTCCACGACTAAAATCTTCACGAACAATGCAGAGTCAGCAGCATCTGAGATAGCTGCTGTAGCACCTGTGATCCCAACTGCAACACCACAAATCAAATTACAAGCACCAACGGTGATCCCTGCCCAAAATAATGAAAATCCTGTATATAGATTTGATTTGGAAAACATCGTATCTGCTGATGCTACAGTCAATTTGGAAGAAAACACAATGGAAATAATTAAACCATAAATGGCAACAACTTCACAGAAAATAATAGAGATTAAATTCTTTGTGGTAATTCTTGGGGCAGCAACACCTGCACCAATAATAGAGGAACCAGTAATGAAGATACCCCAAGCGGCACCAACAACACTTAGACCAATACACATAGCAATTCCGAGGTTAGCCCACATATATGGAGAGGTCTTTAATAAGAATTTCCCAAAATCAATATCTGTTCCATGACCTGTAAACAATTTATATAAAGCATAAATGGCGATGACCGTCAATATGAATGAATACAATATGCCATTGTAGGAGACTGAGTAGCCTTTCCCTTTCTCGTTTGTAGTCTTAATCATTACCGATTTCCGATGTTGATCTTGCTCAGATATAATGTACAGCAACAATATCTAATCCTTAAACTTTAAAATAAAAATAAAAAAAATAGTTTAGACGTTAAATAGTACTCTTCTTTACTTAAAATCGATGGTTGCATAAATTTCATAACAGAGTTGCAAGGCCAATTTAGCCTTATTTAGCTCTCTGCTCGTTTTTTCCAGTTTTTTTTTGAAATTTTGAAATTTTCTGTATGCAGCCGAAGCCGGGTAAAATCTATACATTTTACTAAATAAAACTTATATAAATCATAAAAGAGTTCTGTACATGAGTGAGGAATTCACAGTTGTTCGACGGTTGCACCACCTTGGGCAACGTCTAGCAACTTCCATTCACATTGGACGTTGTTTTTGGTGAATCTGTTGATGATTTCTTGAGCAATATCGTCAAAATTCTCTGTGGCTAATGCAAGGATAGTTGGGCCCGCACCTGATAGACAAATACCCATTAACCCTTTATGAGTGGCTGGAGTAACGCTTTGTAGAATATCAGTTAGACCAGGAATTAGGATCTTTCTGTATGGTTGATGTACTCTGTCTTGCATAGCTGGGTAAATCAATTTTGCATCAGGTGGGTCCAAAGTTAAAGCATTAGTCAAAACAGCTAATCTTTGTAAATTGAATACTAGATCTTGAGTAGTGTAAGCCTTTGGAAGGACGCTACGAGAGTCAGCTGTAGATAATTCAAATTGTGGGATGATTGCAATACATTTAATCTTTGGATTCCAGTTATATTTGACATGTTGACCAATATCTACAGGTGGTAAAGGTGGCATTAAACCAGTATCCTCGCCCCCACTTGGTTCAGGTAATACTTCAGCTAATGGGATTTCACGACGTTCAACTTCTTGTGCGGTTAAATCTCTTAAGAAGGAACCACAGAAACTACCCATCATGGCAGCAGTAATATTATCTGGATGTCTTTCAATCATTAGGCAGAAGTCTAACATTCTTTGTTTGGATAAATCTAATTGTCCAACTTCGTTACCAAGCATAACACCTGCAACAACAGCGGCACCAGAAGAACCTAGACCACGGCCCAATGGGATTGGGTTCTTAATATGAACAGTAGTACCTGATGGGAAACGACGAACATTGCTACAACGTAAAACATATAATGCAGTACGTGTAATTAAATTGCTATCCGAGGCTAATGGAACAGAGTCATAACCTTCTGAATCTTCAGAATAAGTAATACGACAGTTATTTGGATCGGTGTTTGTTATACTGTCATTGGATGGATCGATTGTAACTTCTAATTCAAGGTATAATGATAGAGCAACACCAAGAACATCGTAACCTGGACCGATATTAGCACTGGAAGCTGGCACTTTAATAACAAAACTACGGGCCATCGTGTATAGCAAAAAGATTGTCTTGTTGATATATATATATATATATATATATATGATTATAGAGATATAGAAAGAACGATGAATACCGACCAAATAAGTAGTTGTAGACTCTTCTTTCTATCTCTTAATCTCTCTGCACGTTGGTTCTGGTCGATGGATCTTATCAAATTTCGAAAAAATCGCTGGAAAATTATTTTTCGATGACTCAATTTCAGCACCTCGTATAGAGTGATATTCCACTGTATTACGAGTTTCTGTTCTAATTACATTGAAGGTAACTTATAGAACTGTTTCCATTGTCCATCATGTTATTAATTACGCTTTACTGCTTCCAATACTGTTTACATACAATATTTATACACAGATATGGGGGAACTTATTGGAAGTGGAGGTAGAGAGAGCATCGGAAACCATGTCAAGCTGAAGAGGACCCCGGATGTATTATAAGATACCTAGTTACTGAAAGTGTACTAAGAATCTGAAGTTACGAGGTTAAATGATTCCGCCACAATTATCTAAATTGTCAAAAACATCCTACATTTTTCTTCGTAATCCTTATGTTTCTTCACGGCCAACATCTGGAAGAAGAGATTAGCGAAGACGTTCCTTCTACAAGTAGTTTCGTACAAGTTTATCAAAAACACACACGCACACGCACACACACATAGGGGGATTCCACCATTTTATAATAATATATACTACAATCATATTTGTAATCCTTAGTAAGTCACCATTCAATTGTTTAACATACGAATTGGCTCCAATTTAGTTTCTTGGTCTGGCCCTTCCTTTATTATATACCCTTTTGGGATGACAAATTGCGCGAAGCTTTATAAAAGAAGCACTACAAGAACAAAAGACACCCAGATATTCAATATTTCAAAACTAATTAATTACAATAGATATACACAAGTAGAAACAGTACAATCCACGTTATTGATACGTTAAAATGCTTAGAGGTCTATCTACAGCAGCAAAGGCTAGCGGGTTTCAACTCTCATCTTTATCAAATGGTCTAAGAGTGGCTACATCTAGTGTTCCGGGACATTTTAGTGCTTTAGGGCTATACATCAATGCAGGTTCGAGATATGAAAAGAGAAATCTAAAAGGATGTACTCATATCCTAGATAGGCTGGCGTTTAAATCGACTCAACATATAGATGGACGTACAATGACCGAAACGTTAGAACTATTGGGTGGGAATTATCAATGTACATCATCAAGAGAAACAATGATGTATCAAGCCTCTGTATTTAATAATGATGTTGATCAAATGTTAAGATTAATGGCAGAAACGGTAAGATTCCCAAATATTTCTCAACAAGAATTAGATGAACAAAAATTGGCTACACAATATGAAATTGATGAAATCTGGTTAAAACCTGATTTAATCCTGCCTGAATTATTACATACTACAGCATTTGCAGGTGAAGCCTTAGGTTCTCCTTTATTATGCCCAAGGGAATTAATTCCATCAATCTCAAAATATTATCTGAATGATTACAGAAATAAATTTTATGTACCAGAGAATACCGTTGCCTCATTTGTCGGTGTCGATCATGACGTGGCATTAAAATATGCTGATAAATATTTGGGTGATTGGGAATCAACTCATCCACCTATTGTTAAAGAAGCAGCTCATTATACTGGTGGTGAAACTTGTATTCCACCTGCACCAACGTTTGGTAATTTACCTGAATTATATCATATCCAAGTTGGATTCGAGGGGCTCCCTATCGATCATCCAGACATTTATATCTTGGCAACATTACAAACTTTGTTAGGTGGTGGTGGTTCTTTTAGTGCAGGTGGTCCAGGGAAAGGTATGTACTCGAGATTGTATACACATGTGTTGAATCAATACTATTTCATTGAAAACTGTATAGCATTCAATCATTCGTATTCAGATTCAGGTATTTTTGGAATTTCAATCTCTTGCATCCCTGAGGCTGCTGCACAAGCTGTTGAAATAATTGCATTACAATTTAGTAATCTGTTTGCTAATGATCAATTGAAATTATCTAACGAAGAAGTCTCAAGAGCTAAAAATCAATTGAAATCCTCGTTATTAATGAATCTTGAGTCCAAATTGGTAGAATTGGAAGATATGGGAAGACAAATATTGTTACATAACCGTAAGATCCCAGTAAGTGAGATGATCCAGAAGATAGAGGAAGTGACTCCTGAAGATATCGAGAGAGTCGCCAGAACCGTCTTTACTGGAAATGTGAAGAATTTGGGTCAAGGTACTGGCAAACCTACTGTCGTCATGCAAGGTAACAGAGAAGCTTTCGGTGATATTGAAGGCGTATTTAGACATTATGGCCTAGGTAAATAATAAAAATAATAATATTAATTAATGTTAATGCTTATCGTCCTCTTGTATATAATTAGTAATATATAAATATAATTGTATATTTCTTTCTTCCACTATGACATAATCTCTTCTGTTCTTATGTCAGAGTCTACTTGTTTGCGATCGATGTTACCGACAGAACCATCACTACGTTCTTTCCAGAACGCTAATTCTTTCTCTAATTCAAGGACTCTATCCTGGTAATAAGAGTTGTCTCTAACAGCTTTTTTCAAATTCACTTCTTGTTCAGAGATGAATTTTTCTAAGTTGTTAATTTGATCATTATATCTTTGAACATTATTTTCAAATTGCTGCCTATCTTTATTAGCAAGATTGATTACCTCGACTTGACTCTCATTACGTTCTCTCAATTCTTGAACTGTGCGATCTAATGTTTTATTTTTCTTCATCTCTTCGTACTTCAAATCAGTCTCAGACGATACTAGAGCCTCTAACTCATGTATCTTAGCCAACCAAGAGTCCTTATCTGTAGTATCGGATATCTGCTCTTGTAATCCTTGAACGGTTTCATTCAATTTTTCATTTTTTCTCGACATACTTTGATTCTCCTCATGGAGATCAATGTTCTTTTGTTTCTCTTGATCAAACTTCTCCCTATAACTATCAAGGTCATTTTGCAAACTTTTAACTAATTCAATGTTTCTTTCATTTTGTTCTTTTTGTAATGCTAGTGTCTCTTCCAAATATTGGATATTATCATTGATTTTGTTCCTTTCTTGAACAGATTTACTAAAATCAACACCTGATTGATCTAAATTAGCATTTAATTGTTCTACTTGATTCATTAATTTCAATTTTTCTTCAGTCAATAATTGTATCTTGCTAGCTAATGTATCTTTTAAGTTAGTTAACTCTGTGTATTTTTCATCAAGATCCTTCCTTTCGGCATCAGCAGCGTCTCTCTCAGTACTCAATACTTCGACAAGGTTCGTATAATGATTATTTTGTTTGATCAAATCATTAATCTTGGCCTCAGTATCATTACCAAGACTCTCCAATTTATATTTCAAAGTTGAAATTTGTTTCTTATATTCACTTTCATTTTTTATACCTTGTTCAATTTGTTCGTTTAGAGATTCTATCTTTGTAGAATAATGTGTGTTATCCTTCATTGCAATAACACGTTCTTTCATATGTTCAAGGTCAGAGTTCAACATCTTATTGACATCTTGCTCCCTTTTTAATCGTAACACAGTCTCCTGTAATTTCATGTCAAGGTCATTTCTTTCTGTTTCAGTTGTCCAAAGTTGTTTCTCCTTCTGTTTGATTTGAGATTTCAAATTCTCTAAAACAGAGCCAAGACTCTTAACATCATCTTCGGCTTGTTTCAGGGCATGCGTATAGTCCTTTATTTGAACTTCATTTGCGTGAAGGTCATTTAGACAAGTCTCATATTGTTGTTTTTGTTGTTTCATGGTACCAGCTATCATCTCTTTTTGTTTAATTGTGCTCGATAATTCTTGTTCTAATCTCTGGATCTGTTCATTTAATAATGTTTCCTTCGATTTGAACTGCTTAATCTCAAATGTCAAATTATTAATCTGTTTCTCAGAATCGCCCAAATATTCTTGAATCTTATAGTTTTCCAGTTTTTGATAACGAAGTTCTTCTTCATACTTCGAAATACCTTTTCTATTTTTAAAAATATCACCTGCAGCTAAATTAGTTCTGTCATGTAGAACATTTTCCTTCAACTTATACTCTAAATTCTTAACATGTTCTTCACTTGCTTCATATTTTAACTTATAAAGATCTGAGGATGAACCAGCACTTTGCATTTTACCAAATTTGCTGTGAAGGGCAGATGCAACGTTCTCAGCGTCCTTGTGTGCTTTCTTTTCAACTTCAAGCTGTCTTCTTAAATATTGAACTTCAAGAACAAGTTTTTCGAAACTAATATCCACATTAGAATTATCATCTAATTCCTTCTCTAAATCAACTTCAATATTAGAATTTTTAATGATTTGAATAAGTTTCTTGATTTGACCCTTTGATCTTTGATAATCAAATGATGATGAAGCTAATCTAGTTTCAGTTATTCTTAGCGTTGAAATCAAAGTCTTTTTCTCTTCAATTTCTTCTTCTAATTTTCTAATGGTGTCATCTAATTTTAATTTCATATCATTATATGTATGAATCAACTCATTAGTTTTCATATTGGTTCCTGAAAGGATATCATCGGCTGTGAAGTTTTCATTACCAACAGATAAACGCTTGGTCAAGTATTGATTTAAAGATCTCTCTTCGGATAATTTATTTTCCAAGTCCTGTACTCTTACACTAGACGATTTGATTGAATTATTAGAATTATTGGTATGATGATGTTTCTCTTTGAGTGAGGTATAATTATTCTCAAGGGTTTGGTATGATATTTTTAATTCAGATAATTTACTTCTGGCGTCCTTTAACTCGGATAACACTTTTTCATGTTCGGTTAGTGCATCATCTCTTTGTTTGGAGACGAAAGCGACCTCATTTTGAAACGAAACTAATCTATCTTTGAATCTGTTTAATTCATTCTCTTTATTTTTGATTTGTTTGGAATATGTGACTTGTTCTTTCTTGGCAGTACCGATTTGAGATCTTAAATCAACATTTTCATTTACCAAGGTTTCTAGTCTATTCTTAGCTGTTTCACAACTCTTCTCAAGGGCACCCAATTTTATGTCTAAATCTTCCTCTGAATTTGCAATTTTGTTCTTAAGATTACTAATTTCCTTTTCATTATTTAGTTTCAGTTGCTCTAGTTCTTGAATCTTTGCCAATAAATCATCCTTTTCTTGTTTTGTCACGGAAAATTGTTCTTCCTTTGATGTAATATCCATCTTGAATGACTCAAATTTTTTAGATAATTCATCTGCATTAGAAGTCAAAGTTTCAATTTTAATTTCTCTTTCTTTAATTAAATTATCCATTTTTTCAATTTCTGTTTTCGAACTCTCATATTTTTCAAGAGCATTCTTCTTTTCAATATTTATATGATCATTCAACTTATTGACCTCACTTAATTGAGTCTCCAAACTAGTCTTGGCATTGAGTATCTCTTCTAATTCCTTTTCTTTAGTATCTAATTTGTTCTTTTCTTCAGCCAATAAATCTCTGACATCTTTTAATTGAGTTTCAACTTCAACCTTAGATGATAATAATTCATTATTGATTTTCTCAGTCTCTCCAACTTTTGTCTCCAATTCTTTAATTTGAGTACTGAATTTCTTAGTCTTAGTAATATCTTGTGTAGAAGACAATAATGGTTTGATAGTAACAAAAAGATTAAACCATGGATCTTGCATTAAATTGTTGTAAGTTTCAAAAGTGTTACCAATGACTCTAGCGGAAGTAATTTTCTGCAGTTTATTTCTAGTTGAACGTCTAACTAATCTACCTCTCACTTGTGCATTAAATAATACAGATATTCTCTTCATTTTCTCTTCCTTTTTATTTTCGAGTTTTGCTAGTACACCAGCTTTAAAGAATAATTTAGTATTACCCACTTTAAAGAGACTAGGATCTAAATGTAAGGATGATAACAATATTTCACAATTCTTCTTGGGATCCTTCTTGTGAAAGTCATCTTGATCAGATGATAAAAGATTATACCTATTAAAGAATTCTTTGAAAAATATTCTATTTGGATAACCTTCACGAGCAATTCTAATACCTTCAAGGACACCATTACAACGAAGTTGATCCAAAATCAATTTTCTATCAAAATTCTTTGCCATTTTCTTGTTATTTGGGATAATACAACGTACAAAATGTGGATGGGTAGTACCTAATTGTTGTAATAATGATATTTGTTGTTCTCTATGACGAGCAGATGTAGTTCTAAACGAAGTACCGGGAGCCCTAGCCTTTGGAGATTTAACAGGAGACCCTGGAATATCTGAGTCATTTTCATTCTTGGCGAAGAAATTTGATATGAAACTATTATTAGCATTTGATAAGACGGTAGATAAATTTTCGTTTAATGGATCTTTATTTTTAGATAACCAACTATTGATATTATATTCGACATCACCAGCATAATGTTTTAATATAAAACAATTTGGTAATTTTGAACGTTTAAATCTATCTGATTTTTGATCCCAATTAGTAATTAATTTTTCAAAAAATGTATCATCTGTAGATTTTGGTAAGATAGATTCTTCATCTAAAAGTGGAAGAATCCCGGAAGGAATTTTCTTTTGTTCAATTAAATCAATTGTAAATTGTAAATCTTTCCCATAATCTATATAATTCCATTGAATATTTTCTTTAATATATTCACTTTGTTCTAATACAAACATATGATGATTGAAAAATTGTTGTAATTTTTCATTTGTGTAATTAATACAAAGTTGTTCAAAGGAATTATGCTCAAAGATTTCAAACCCTGCAATGTCAAGTAAACCAATATAATTTACAGTCATGGAGCCATGGTCCAATGATAAATTAATTCTGTCAACAATATAAGAAAATAAATGTTCATATAATGATCTTGCCAGCGAATTTAAAATAAATCTTGCTTGTGTAGCATTCTTTGATTGAGAGACCCATTCTCTACCAGCTTTTGATTTAGGTCTCAAAATTGCGGTCTCAAAATCTGATTTTTCAATACCTAATAACGTTATTAAGTCTTCAATATCACTACTAAAACTTGCTTGTTCTGATTTTTCTGATGTGAATTTAATATTACCAATATGTAAGATAATAGCAATAACTTTTAAAATATTTTCAATATCTTCTTCTTTAAAACCAACAGTTTGAAATGCTGTTAATAAATCTGTAAAATTGGCTTGATCATTAACACCTGCAATAGAATGATTTGAGTGAGCTAAATATTCATAACTTGAAATAGAATTTGAAGGTAAATGATATTTTCTATTTAATTCAATTTCACTCACACTATTTAAAAATTCGTAAAAAATATGATAATTTCTTTCATCTGGATGTTGATTTATTACTCTTGATTTTTCTAAAAGGTACCATTCGATGTGAGCACCATTAATTTTCCCACGTTCATCAAATTCAATTTTAATAAATTTACCAAATCTTGAAGAATTATTATTACGTACAGTTTGTGCATTACCAAAGGATTCTAAAATTGGATTACTTTGTAAAATTTTTCTTTCAAAACTTTCTAAATTATTATTTGAATTTGATATTGTTTCTTTATCATCTGATGATGTTACAGCTGCTAAATATTGTAAAATTTTCTTAGTATTTTCTGTCTTACCAGCACCTGATTCACCAGTGACTAAGATAGACTGATTTAATTTTTCTGTCAATAAGTTTTGATAAGCTTCTTCTGCGATGGCAAATATATGTGGTTTATTTTCTTCTTTAACTGAACCATGATAAAGGTTAATAAATTCAGGTGTATATAATTTAATATTGCAATACGGATTAATTGCCACTAAAAACAGTCCAGAATATGTATATATAAGATCATCTTTGTATCTATTTTCTAAGTTATGAAGCACTGAAGGTTCATTTAAAAATGTTAATTCCGACATGTTGTCACTTTTTTCAAAACTTATTGGATTTACAGGTTGAATATCATTAATGGAAATTGTTTTGATTTCATTTGAATTTAATAGTCTAATTTCTTTTGAAGTTTCATCAGTCGAGTCATTGTCATTACTATTGAGTATTTCACCTTGAACGAACGTCTCTACATCATCAGGTATCCAAACGATCTTGGTCTCATTATGGTCGTTATCCTGCATCTTGTGAGTATCTAGTATTATTATTAGATTGTTGTTACTTTTTTTTTTATAATTAAGCACCTTTTATTTTTGGTGTGTTCTTGGAGGAGGGGGTGGAGGGTATCTAAAATATAAAAGTTGTATGTTTATAGTAGTTTTGTATTGTATGAATTTTCTAGTTGTTAGCAATTAAAGCTTTTTCATAATAAGTTTGTTATTCGAGATTCTACATGTTTTTTTGGATGGTTGGTTGTTCTTTCTCATTGTTTTTGTTTACAATTTTCACCGAAAAATTACCGAATCAGTAAATAAAAGAAAATAATTTTTGAAATTTGTTTAGAGCTATATACAGATTACCCAAAGGGGAAAAATAATTATATTATCTGTTTTTTGAGCATTTCGTTAACGCGCGCGCGCGCTCTCACTTTTTTAAACAAGAAAAGCACAGTTGGGAGGCTTACCCGGCCCTTAGAGTTAGGAACGTCACTGAGAGCAAATACTATCTGTATGTATGTATGCATTTCTATTGAATTTGCTATCACTCAAGGGGAAAGGAACTGGATGGCGACTATATTTTTATTAATAGTGTCTCTCTTTACAGAATTTCGTGTCATAAATAAGAAAAAAGATACAATACAATACAATACAATACAATACAATACAATACAAGGCGTGGGGGAGGCGAGGCGAGGGAACATGTATATATTAGTATTAAGCGGCAAGCGTTAAGCCACACGAACCTAATACAGTTTCTAACATCATATGATATCGAGCAAGTAGCCAGGTATAAGCTAAAAGAAGAGGTATGCTCTGGTTTCAAGTGAAGAGAAATATATTATTACGTAATCAGCTACCTAACGCCGACAGCTTCTACTAGGAGTGTTTTTTGTTTTCTAAATATACATAAAAATGTAATACGACCGTTCGTTGAAAGCCCAATCCTTTAATAGAAATTTCATTATCCTGTTTTTCTCGAACGTGCGTACGTCCGCACCCCTTCCTGTCAAAACATGTTCCTTACCTTATGGAACATGCCAATTACCGATTAATTTTATTGGAACGGTTTTTTGCAGCGTGCGTGTTTAGACGTTCCACGTAGTGACAGTAAGGAAGTAAATAAATAAATAGATGCCAACAGCCATTTTGCTGGGAGACCGCACACGCCCGCTGTGCAATAGTATGGTTTCCCCGGTTATTTTACACAGAGACCCTCCTCCTTCGCTACGTGAAGGAAGGTGCCTTGCAGACACTCTCCTACCACAAACAGAGGGAGAGGGTCCCGGTTCTTCTCACTCCTATTTTTCTTCATGTAAAAATACAATTTCAGCACGTATACTGTCCTGTGATTCCCTTTTGCTGGTTTTCTACGGGGTGCTCTGTATCATCCGGGCAGAAAAGGATGTCCGATTTATCTCCGCTTTCTTGCTTTTGCGTGGCGTGGTGTGCGGTGTGTGGTGTGTGGGTGGGGTGCATGCCAATTTCTGTTCTTGTTCGTGTTCTTGTTCGAGTACCCCACCCTTTGCTGTCCCCGTGTACGGGCATTTGTGTCTGCCACTCAATTGTTTCCGTTTTCCTTTGCCTGGCGGAAACCAGTGGACACCTCGCCCCAGAGCGCTCCCCCAGGTTATCGCGAAACCCCACGCACTGGCATTCCACACACCGCTGCTGCTACACACATCACACAGGAAGTTTGTTCCTTTTTCGCTGCGCAGTCACTGGAAGGCCGAGTGTCTCTTGTTGCTGAAACCACTGGAGACCTTCATTCCATAAACTGCACACATCGCCCCAGACAGACACGCACAAACCGCGACCATATCGCTTGGTAATTTCCCCGTAAATTATTTTTTACATTATTTAATTGACAGTGGGGAAAGTAATCATTTGCTGATACGGGTGTTTCTCAGCGGTGTCTTTATTGGGCCCTATTTTCCTATTATTTGAAATAATTAACTGGTAGCACCTTCCCCCTCCCCCCACCGGTATAATAATAAGAAAGTCTTCCTATTTCGAGAAACTTTGATTAACTAAACTCTATTTGTTTGTTTTTTTTACTGGGTTCTCTCTCTCTCTATTTTTTTTTTTTTTTTTTTNTTTTTTTTTTTTTTTTTTTGAAGTCTTTCTCCAGATAATTTGAAATTTTTCATACTTCAAGATATATAAACTCAGGTTGTTTTAAAAACTATCCTGCCCGTATACATATATCTAAGTGTATCTCTCGACACTTGTTCACTAGAACATTACAATATACTAAGAATAACAACAATAACTGCTTATATTTCTTTTTTTCCCTTTTAATAATAATGTCAGGATTATTAATATACGATGCACAACCAAATCAAATTCCTCGATGTTTTGATACCAATACTGTAAGAATTATGGTAATGGGCGATAATCTCTCAGGTAAAACGTCATTTATATTGAGATGTTTAAATGGTACATATAGAGAAATTGAAAGCGGTCTTTATATGGAAGATATTTATAGAAGACCATTAAATTTATTATCGTTATTTAATGACAATAAATTAATTAATGATCATGATATTTCGGAATTTATCAATAACAAAAATTTCAATAAAAAATTTTTACCAAAAGAAGTTCAGTTTTTGGATACGTCCCCTTTTGAAATTGCAGATTTCTCAGAATTAAGAAATCAACAAATTATCCAATCGGATGCGTTTATACTTTGTTTCGATCCAACAAGTGTTGAATCGTTATTAAATTTAAGAACTTATCAAAGAAGAATTGAACGTGTTAGAGGTATTGATGATATGGTACCAATTATGATCGCGGCAACAAAATCGGATTTGATGTCAGAGAGAAAAGTCTTTAATGATGATATCTTAGAAATGATGAATAGATTTGAATTATCCTATACAAGTAATTTTATTGAAATTTCATCGAAACACGACATTAATATTAAAAAATTATTTGTCAAGACAATAATTAAATCACAACAATATAAATCTAAGCAAAGAAATTTATTGAATAGTATGGAAGATTCTTTAATTCAAAGACAAAACTTTCCTGAATCAATTTCTGATATTAACGAATTATCTTCATCGTCCGATGTTGGTTTAGTTGGACCAACAAATCATGAACATATTACTGGAAATAATAACAACAATAATAAAGATAATATAATTTTAACAACACCTGTATCAAATATAAATAATGATGATATGATTGAACCTGTAAATAGTAAAGTAAGATTAATCGATATTAAGGGTCAAAATGATGGTAATAATATACGAAGTGAATCAACAAATAATAAAAATATATTGAATAAAATTAAGACAAATTCTTCAAGATCTATCGTTATTAGAGAAAAGACAGCTGCATTAGATTATAAATCTGATAAGGATCAATTGGAAAAGAAAAGACATTCAAAGAGCGATTCTTGTTGTGTCATTTCTTAATAATAATTATCGTCATGGACTATATTCCATAATCATTCATCATTCTTTGCATTTAGTAATAATATCTACTTCTCTCTCTTTCTCTCCCCTCTTTTTTTTTCTTACCTCACCCTAATAGACTTTAGACAAAAATTCATAAACATTTACAGACTCTTTTACATAATAATTTAATAAATAACTTCAATGATAGAACCAAACATATCGCTTATATATTTAAATAAAATTTGGGGGATGACTGCTTAACATCCGTGCACCCCGGGTAGCATCTGAACACCGCACTATAGCTGTAATTATTATTATTTTCTCCCAAAAAATTTATTTTAAAATGGAAAACTTCCCAGACAAACTAAGAGAGAAAAAGTCCAACCGAAGAAGAAAACAAAAGAATTATTATTATGGAAATTTTTCATTTCTTGCAATTTTGACGATTCTATGAATTTTTGGTAATTAGCGAACTGAATTGACATAGTACTGCAAAGTTCTGTAAGTGGACTATGATGGATGATACCACCAAATGTATGTAGGTATGTTGCAGCATCTCATTTACTATGCAGTAACTTGAACATTTAGTAATTTGATATTAATAACTTAAACCTTTAAAATAAATCAATTAGGTCATTTATATACTGTATTTTTAAATAGCCTTTGCTTTAATTTTTGTATATAAATTTCTTTTAATTTAGATCCTTGATACATAATACAGATAAAGACAAGTAATACAAGATGGTATGTTAAATTATCAAAATATATCAATATTTATGCTCAATATTTAGAACTGTATTGGATAACGATAAAATTATAATGTGTGGAGAGAAGGAGACTAAAATGAATTGTTTATTAGCACACATCACGTTTTCAACCTGATGTTATAAGTGCATATCATTATCGTACTCAAAAGATACTTGATGTTTTTACCAGCTATGTTTGATGCGAAGTAATGGATCCGTATTCCACATTTATGTTTCCACAAATGAATGATATAAGGAAGAATTTACAATATTATTATTGTTGTTACAAAACTGTTTTAATGAGTATAAATAAGAAAATTACTTTAAAGGCCAAAATACTAACAATAGAATTTTTTTTTATGAAACTTTTCATAATTTTATTTTTATTAACAGGTTTTAGTTCAAGATTTATTGCACCCAACTGCCGCTTCTGAAGCCAGAAAGCACAAGTTAAAGACTCTGGTCCAATCTCCAAGATCTTACTTCCTAGATGTCAAATGTCCAGGTTGTCTAAACATTACCACTGTTTTCTCTCACGCTCAAACCGCAGTCACCTGTGAATCATGTGCTACTGTTCTATGTACCCCAACTGGTGGTAAGGCTAAGCTATCTGAAGGTACTTCTTTCAGAAGAAAGTAAATTATATTATAAAAATAATAATAATAAAAGAAAGAAAATATTTTTTATTAAAATAGTTTGAAAATATCTTCATCTATTTTCCATGCCTTCTCATACACATTTAATTATCAATTAATTGATCCTTTCTGATAGTATGAAAAATTTTAAAGATTGTTATGTTTGTTTGTTTTTGGATCTTTTGAATGGATAACTTGGATTATCATTTTCATCTTTTGTTAACAATGTTTAACATTTTGCATCATCCATTCACCATAAAATATTATATTCTTTCTTTTTTGTCTTTCACTATCAATTAATCATTATACGATGTTTTTGGCTAATTTTTCTTAACTTTGGTTGTTGTTCTTTTATATATATATGTATATTATATACACGTCTTCTATTATGTCATTATCTACAATTGTATAACTTACTTTAACATTTAAAACTATTACGGATCAAATTATATTCTTTTATATTGTTACATTATTTATTAAAGGATTGTATAGTATCCTTTTTATTTATTTATATTAATTAGTTCACACCATCTTTATATATATGGACATAAAAGTAAGGGATAACTATATTTTGAATTATGATGATGTGTATTATGCATGAGATGTAGTGGATGTGAGGGTATTATTATTAGGAATTGATGATAAAATGCTATGATATATTGCTTTGAGTTCTTGGTTTTTAACTTAATATGAATTGCTTTATCTATGGGGCCAATTCATTTTGATTCATTTTATCTAAATCTTCTGGAACATCTCTAAGTAATAATATTCCAACGAATGTCCCAACAATAGTAAATCCAATCAATAATAATACTATAGGGATATATATGGCATATATGCTAGGTAATGGGAATAATTTCCATTGTCCTTCTAGATCAAATATTGGTAATAATAACCATATCGTATAATAGATGAACAATATTATATGGA